CCCCCCCCCCCCAATTCTAATTAGAAAAATACCCAATGCATTGTTTGTAGTTTGCTTCTGTCAATTCTAATTAAGAGGAGAGACCATAATTCACATTAATTGTTTTTGGCAAGAAGCATTATGGGCTGAAGGAGATATATCAGAAAACTTAATTATTCTTATTAAACTGACCATATTCTGCAGATTAGTTGAATTGGAAGTGGTACCAGTTACCAGTTTCAGGGCAAAAATAGAAAGATATTTTGACAGGTCAATTTTTTACATTTATTTGATATTATTTTTTTATATTTTATTTTATTTTTAAATATACAAATTTACTTTTATAATGATTTTATCTTATAGTATATGTGTTAAATGAAGGTAAATGTATATCACTTTACTATTATTTGAGAATGAACCGTAGTTAATTTTAATTTTTTACACAAAATGTTTGTAATTAAATGAATAATCTCACTATTAAGAGTAGTCATAAAACTATAAGAATGATTTTAGTGATGAAAGTTTGAAAAAAAGAATGAGAAAATGTTATATTTTTAACTTCCTCACTAATATTTAGAAGATATAAAATTATTTTTTGAAACAGAGAGTGAAAAAGATTGTAAGTTCAATTTTATTGACAAAACTAACAATTAATATAAATTAATATTTGTCAAAAAAATAATAATAAGCAATAGTGGTGCTTCAGATTTTGAAATATATTACCAACATTTATTTTTTAAGCCAATTAGTAAACATATGTGGTATTTTTCCGCCCCTTAGTAAAAAACTGTCATTCCAAGATGAGAAAACGCATAGCAGGATTACTTTTTTTTACTACAAAAAGAAGAAGAAAAGATAAGTTGTTTTTGAGATAATGAGATGAAAAAAAATGGAATAATATATAAATATAAATTACCCTAATTTTTATAAATTATTGGTATAAGTTTATACACGGTGAACCAATTAAATTTTTAAAAATATTATAATAATTCACAGTGTCAGTATACATGATAGTTTAGGATTAGGTACTAAAAAATTTTTAAAAAATGAGCGATGGATTTTAGATAAATTAATCGCAAATAGCCCTAATCAGACAAAAAGGAAATTAGGCTGACAAAATACATTAGATCATCCAAGCAACTCTTTAACTTTTTTTCTCTCTTAATTTTATGGATCCAGTTGGAACTCTTCAGCTTGTTTTTGACCAATCTTATTTAACATGTTAGAGGATGATAGCACGAGTATACCTACAACCTTTTTTAAACTTATGGATGAATGGATATTACGTTGATATTTGTTTTCACCATGTCTTAATTTTGTTACTTTAATACATTAATTTGAATCTTAAATTATCTATAAGTGGTAAGAATCAAGTATCAAGAAAATGAGATGGGTTTTGTTTTGGTTTTGGTTTTTTTATGTTGGTTTAAATGTTTAAGAAACCAATCATCTCTGTATTTCCCATGTCAATAGCATAATTACATTAATAGAGCGAGTGTTTGAGTTGATCTACTTATCATCATTATATTACAAAAATTCATAGTTTATAAATTTAGAAATCACCTTTTGCCTAATTATTTTTAATAGCAATTTACTTACTTAATATTCCTACAAGTTTACTTTATACAAATTTTCTCTTTGATTCGTTTAACCTAATTCTGGCATACTACAAAAAATCGTTGTCTAACGTACAAACTGAAAAAAAAGAGTCAGAACCCGGTTCAAGATCCCGAAACCAGACCCACAGCCCCAACCCAGGCTAGGATTCCTGGCACCTAAGATGTTCTTCTTTTGATAAAGCAATCTTATCTTCCATTTGGATTGTAAAACAATACAAATTGCTGTTATTTAACTTAAACACTTTGCAATACTAGCATACAATAAACAAAAAATATTTATATACATGAATTACGTAAATATCTTCTGCATCCTCAAGGTGGGTATAAATATAGGTACTCATAGGAGTCTTGGTAAAAGAATAATTTGCTTAGTAACACATGTATACTTAGTTTTGAATGTGAATTTGTGATTTGATATGTTAAGAGTTATTTCTCTTATAATTACATATCTGAGACGGATTAAGAAAGAAGTAGTTGAGGCTAGTTTAATATTATATTAGTAGTCGTAAGTACCTAATTAAATTGATTAGGATACAATGAATGATGCAGTTGAGACGTGGGTGGTTACATATTTTAAGTGTTGAAAGATATTGCGAATGGATTAGGCTATTATAGTTTGGCAAAAAACAGGACAAGTGTATTAGAAAGTGAGTTTTTAAGCCTAACTCAACCCCACAAAACCGGCTTTTAGGGTGAGGTTTGCACCTCACTTATATATTATAATTTGGCCTTATCTCTAGTCGCATGTGGGACTTCCAACACCACCCCTTCACGTCGAGGTATAGACATTATCGTGCCGTGATTAGTAGAAATTGGGTGGTCCGATAACGGCACCCGAGGATGCGGGGTGGCTGGAATGGATAGAAGAATAGAATGTCCACTTTAGAACTCGCTAGGATAGGCACTAACCATGGCTCTGATACAATATAGAGAAAGTGGGGTTTTTTTTTAAGGCCTAACCAACCCCACAAAACCGGCTTGTAGGGTGAGGTTGGCACCTCACTTATATATTATAATTTGGCTTATCTCTAGTCGATGTGGGAAACTTCCAAACACCCCTCACGTCGAGGTGGTTATAGACATATCGTGGCGTGATAGTAGAAATTGGGTGGTCCGATATAACGGGCCCGATTAGCGGGTTGGAATAGAAGAATAGGAATGTCCACCTTAGAACTCGCTAGGTAGGCACTAACCATGGCTCTGTGATCCATATTAGAAAGTGGGGTTTTTTTGTTTTTAAGCCTAACTCAACCATCAAAAAACCGGCTGTTAGGCGTTGGGTTGCACCTCACTATATATTTTATAATTGGCCTATCTCTAGGCGATTGTGGGACTTCCAACACCAACCCCCTTCGCGGGTATAGACATCGCGTTTGCGGATAGAGGTAGGAAATTGGGTGGGCCGATATAACGGCCCGGGTCCGGAAGCGGGGGAATTGGAGATGGAATATGGATAGAAGAATAGAATGTCACTTAGAACTCGCTAGGATAGGCACTAAAATTGGCCTCTGATGATACCATATTAGAAAGTGAGTTTTTAAGCTAACTCATTAAGCTAACTCAACCCACAAAACCGGCTTGTAGGGTGAGGTTTGCACCTCACTTATATATTATAATTTGGCCTTATCTCTAGTCGATGTGGGACTTCCAACACACCCACTTCACGTCGAGGTATAGACATCTCGTGCGTGATAGTAGAAATTGGGTGGTCCGATAACGGCCCGATAGCGGGTGGAATAGAAGAATAGAATTGTCCACTTAGAACTCGCTAGGATTAGGAACAACCAGGCTCTGTACCATATTAGAAAGTGGGTTTTTTAGCCGAACTCAACCCCACAAAAACCGGCTGTATTTGTGGGTGAGGTTTTGCACCTCACTTATATATTATTAATTGGCGTATCTCTAGGCGAGTGGGGACTTTCAAACAAAGTGATGTTTGTGAGGAAGTGAAGAAGAAGAAGAAAGGAAGAAGAAAGAAGAAAGAAGAAGAAAGAAGAAGAGAAAAAGAAAAGAGAAAGGAAGAGAAAAAAGAAGAAAAGAAGAAGAGGAAGAAAGAAAAGAGAAGAAAGGAAGAGAGACCACCCCCATGCCGAAGGGAAGAAGAAGAAACAGAAGCAATCGGTAAATGTATGTATGCAGATTGAAACCGCGTCATCTTTCCATGTATTTTTACGTCTCTAACTCTCACTTATTCCTGGGACCTCAACGCACTCACCTTGCTCCCACTTTATTCTTCTCACTTCATTCTTCTACGCGTTCGAATATGTTCTTCACTTAAACTTTCCACTTTTCAACGCCCTCCACTCCCTTCTTAAGCACTTCTACTCACCAAACACGAATATGGTGAGCTCTTCTTTCGTTTGAATTTGATCGAGCTAAGATGATCCTTGTCAATATAATAGACAACAACATACTCCCAACTTCAAACTGCTACCTTACCTATTAACTCTTTGCCTTTCCTTTCACTTTTTTCTTTTCTTTCTTTTATATTGACTTTTGAAACCTCAGACTCCCAATGGAACGTGCGGTTCTTGATGGTATCATCAATAGGCTGCTCGAAGTCAGAACCAGGCCCGGCAAACAGGTGCAACTTTCTGAGCCTGAAATCAAGCAGCTTTGTCTTGTCTCCAGGGATATCTTCTCCAACCAGCCCAACCTCTTGGAACTCGAGGCACCCCTCAAGATCTGTGGTACTTTTCTTTTTCTTCCACCCGTCAATCACATCTTTCTATTTCTTCCTCAATTTTATTATCCAATATCGTCTGAAAAAAAAAAAAAAAAAAAAAAAAAAAAAACAAGTTAACGCTATAGGATGATTCTTTTCTTACAACAGTTATGGTCAAAAGTTGCTTAAGATTATAGGAAAACGGAACGTTGTTATTATTGAATCGGAGATCAGATTTGAAAACAACTTTTTCATTCTTATGTTGTTGGGGTGTGTATCATCACTGAAAATTTGGTCTTTGAGTGAATCGTGTTGTCTGCGACGCTGCCTCTGTCCTCACTGAAATGGGATAAGGCTTTGTTATTGTTTTTGTTGATAAGGTTGTTGTTGATAAGGTTGTGTTTGTCTTACCTTTCCTAGACCCCTAAATTCTCGTCCATTCATATTTGAATATTAATAAGTTGAGTGCCTTGGAAATACGAATTTTTATTAGATTCTTTAGATTGATTCATATTTGATCATACTGAAGTAAAAGAATCCCTTCCCCTTGAAAGAAGTATGTTAAATTATTAAACTCGTTTCTTTAGGACGTTAAATTGCTCTTCTTACTCTGTTAAAGTGATTGTTTCATAGAAGTTTCGTATACTTTGTTGTGTTATAGATAATTGATTGGGTTAGAGGTAGCAACATAGTTGCGATTTCTTCCTCCGTCGTGATTCCTTTCCACGTTTTATTTTTTAGAAGAGAAGNTGAGGAGGTTGATACACCGGTGGTGGCTTTTTGTGAGGAGGTTGATACACCGGTGGTGGCTTTTTGTGAGGAGGTTGATACACCGGTGGTGGCTTCACGTAGGGAGGTTGATATATTGGTGGTTTCACATGAGGAGGTTCATACACTGGAGGTGGCTTCACGTAGGGAGGTTGATACACCGGTGGTGGCTTTTGGTAAGGAGGCTGATACACTGGCGGTGGCTTCTCGTGAGGAGGCTGATACACTGGCGGTGGCTTCTCGTGAGGAGGTTGATACACCGGTGGTGACTTTTCGTGAGGAGGTTTATACACTGGTGGTGGCTTTACATAAGGAGGTTGATACACTGGTGGCTTTACGTGAGGAGGCTCACACACTGGAGGTGGCTTTACATAAGGGGGTTGATACACTGGTGGTGGCTTAACTTGAGGAGGTTCATACACTGGAGGTGGTTTCACGAAAGGAGGCTGATACACTGGTGGTGGATTCTCGTGAGGTGGTTGGTACTCTGGTGGTGGTTTTTCATGAGGAGGTTGGTATGGTGGCTTCTCATATGGAGGATGGAAGAATGGTGGAGGAAGGAACGGATGGTTATATAATGGGGGTGGTTTTTCAGTTGGAGGAGGTTGATAGATGGGTGGAGGTTCAGTTATGGGTGGTATGCCAATTGGGGGAGGCTCATAAATGGGTATGTTGAAATTAGCCAGGACTGGGGTAGTAAGAAGCGCCACTCCAAGAAGGAGCAACATGAGTGAGTGTAAAGAAGTCATGTGGAACATTTTGTGGTGGAAACTGGTACCAAAGAAAAAGTATTTATAGGGAGAGATCCGAGAAATTTTTCTATCAAGATCATAAAACTTTTGTTATTTTATTATTATCTATATGCAAAATAATATTTAAATCAGAATTTAAGTCAAAAGTGTGGCAGGTATAATTTGTGATTTTGATATTCAGTACCCCGGAATGGATTTTCCACCCATTCAGGTTTAATGGAACAACATGATTCTGAGTTTTAAGTGCAGAAATTGAAGCAGTGACTGTGAACTATAAATAGTTTGTCTAAACTGATAGGCTGATATGAAAGATGGATCCAGAGCAGCACATAGATAAGGATCCTATAATTTGCACAAGTTGTCTTAAATTTGCCGCGTATATATTTTGGATGTCTAATAAATTATAAGCTTGGTAAATTTGAGTAGCATTATTGTTTATAAAATGAGTTAACGTGGGGTGGTGGAGGCGTGAATAACAGGGCAGAAGTTGTGGATGAGAAAAAATAATGAGGATTATATGTTAAACATATTGTATGGTGAAAGTCAAAATTGAAGAAAGGATGGTTGTGTAAAAGGAGTCACGAGAAGCTGATGAAATCATGACCACCCCTATTCACTCCAATCATACACCACAACCTGCTCTTGCTCATCTTTACATTAGTATTACGGTGGTTGTTTATCAATCAATCCAATTCATTCAAAATTCCAATTTTAAAAAATTGAGGTTAAATTAAATTGGAATAGCTTTTAAATTATTCTTTTTATTTAATTCAATCCCTAGGACTAATTTCTTAAGTCGTGTCAACAATTTTTTTTTCCTTTGAACTTTACCTTCCAGATTTACCTTTCCTGAGATATTCTTATATTTTTCCAATTTTAATAATATTTAATGCAAAGAAAATATTTTAATGCTGAAAATTTTCCTTCTTAAAATAAGGGCTACACGCATTCGTTTAATATATATTCTACCTTTCAGAAAATTCTTCAAAAATATTCACTGAAGAAATAATATAGCTGCTAAATAGGTAACTGGCTAACCACGGGGTTGGTCACTTAGTGAGTCAACCTAACTCGGTTCCCTTATTAGTGAGTTGAAAAAATTTGAACCCCAACTACCACAGGTTAGTGGATTAAACAGGTTGACTCACTGGTTCATTTAATTATAAGTTTTAAATAAAAAAATTACAACTTTTTTAATTCAAATGTAAATAAATTTCATGTTAAAATGACGTTAAACTTAAAAAATAATTCAAAATAAAAAAAAAAGTATCATACAACCCACTTGTAATCCAAAAACATATACAAAAGGCGAAAAAATAAGTTTAGGCGAACAAATAAGTTTTTAATATTAATAATTTTTGTATCACTTGTCCATTTATAATATTAGAGCCTTGAATAGATAAATTTATAATATTTTTTTTGTTTTGAAACATCTTTTTCTTTATCATCATCTACAATATAATAAAAAATGCTAATTAATAATATTGAAATACACAATAATAAATAATTAAATTAAATTAACCAACCCAGCCAGCACGAGTTCAACCCGGTGAACCGGGTCCTAAGTAAGTCGAGTTGAAAACTAATCCATATGAAAAAAGGGTGTTGCTTCCTCCACCTTCCCACTATTTTTTTTATTCCAAAAATACTCTACACCTCCCCACTATATATTGCAAAATATAAAATTGAGAGAAAACTTCAATACTAGTGTTTCTACCACTTCTATTTTATAAACTTAAAGGTTAGATGCAAATACAAAATAATAAACATAATAGTAAATAATATATTATTATTATTATTATATACTAACTTTATAAAGACGAAAGAACTAAATAAATAACAAATCTTTAACAAATAACTTTTCTTTTATATTTTAAGTATTTAATAATATTTTTATATTATTTATCTAATAAATTAAATACTTTATTCAAGTTATTTGAGTCAAACATGTCGGTAAGTTAAAACATAATATAATGTTAAAAATTATATATATTAAATGTAAAAAAACACATATATAAACATTTTTCTAAAAATTTAGAATAAATTTTTATCATTTATTAAGTGATTTGTAGAAAAAAAAATATATTGAACAGTGAAAATAAGATTGAATCAAGCTTATTTAAGGAAAAATGTAAATAAAATTTTACAATATATCACAAGTTTAGATCTGAACTATGTGAATGCTCTATTAATATGGAGAGAGAAAGAGAAATATTATTGAGTATAATGGAGAGGTGTAGGGTAATTTTGAAATAAAAGAAAATAGTGGAGAAGTGTAGAGTATTTTTTTGGAATAAAAGAAAATAGTAGGGAAGTGCAGGAGTACATGGGGTGGTGGTGGGAGCAACACCCATGAAAAAAAATTACATTTTTTTCAAACTTAACTAGGTTCAAACTCGTGGTTGACTCGCAAGTTACAACTCATTTTGACAGCACTACAAGATATTGTATATTTTCTTTTCGATAAGCTAGATAACCTCCTGTTTAAAATTTTAAGCAAACTATAAAATGCTTTTGCTCCTTTGAAATGATGAACCTAATTTAACAAAATATACAAATATAATTATTAACTAGAAATTAATAGTCCATATAAAAGAATATTAGACATCATATATAATGGCATCTAAGTCTAATAATTATTTGTTATTACATAAAAAATTATTAAAAAAATAAAATAATATAAAATATGAAGACTATATTAAATTTATAATAAAATTTATACATAATATATATATATATATATATTTAAACTATAAATATTATAAAAAATAAATAAATATATGAAGATAAAATATTAAAAAATAACTTATATTATTATCTATTAGTAAAATATAAATTAACTAATTTAGTAGCACAATATTTCTTTCAAAAAAATATAATAAATTTTGAAATATATATATAGGTACATAAATGCAAACACGATATTTTTCTTCTTCTTCTTCCGTGTTAAAATTAAAATATTATATATATAAATTACAAAATTATTAGAATATAGTAATAATTAATTTTAATCCATAATTAAGTT